TTAGGAGGGGACAGACAAAGAAGTGATTTTCAGCCTTTGTTCTGTCTGTAAGAATGTCTACGTGTGGCACTTTTCTCAGTCATTCTGACTGGAAGAATGCTCAGGAATTGTGTTGGCTGCCTTGAGACCCGCCTCTCTGAGCTCCCAGTGGAACCCTGTGTGGGAGGTGCAGTTTGTGACTGAGAGCTTGGATGGTGACCTTGGGCTGTTTTTCTCTGAATCCTGACTCTGCCCCTTAGTAGCCGTGTTACCTGGAGCAGTGTTGTTACCTTGACTTTGCCGGGCCTGTTTCCTCTTCTGTGGTGTTCAAGGACTAAGTGGGGGCAGCATGTAAAGTGCTCACCAGGGTACCTGGGATCATGGTTGAAGTCCAGTAGTGCCGGCTGTGGCTCGACCAGTGTCGTTACCACCTGCTCTGCAAAGGGCATGTTTCACTTTTCCTCTTTTCACACTCATTAAAGGTTTTGCATTATAATTCTCAGTTTCCACCCCTCCCCCAAAACTATGTCTCTCCCGCCAGTGAAGCTCCAGGTCTGCAGAGCCCCCTCTCTCAGCTAAACAGGAAGACCAATATTAGGGCACCCTCCCTTGAAGAGAGTTAATGTCAGGGGTTCTGCAGTAGTTAATGTACTTTCTGTACACCATAAGGAATTAAATGGTGTCCTTAAGAAAGTTACTCCTCCACTCCCCTGCCTCTCTTTGACCCCCCTCCCAGACAAGCAGGACACCTCCTGAAATTTGCAGATAACTTGAATTCACTTGTTAATACAAAATGGGTCAAGTTGTAGGCTAAAGTGGACTTAGCTTTATAATTCCAGAGTAACACATCTTGGAAAGATGTGTCATAGAAGATGTAATAATATTTGTTTTTAAATACCTTCAGAAGAATTTCAAGTGTTATATGACTTCTCCTTGAAAGATATAAAATCCTAGAGCCAGGAATTTACACAGTTTGTATTGTCTTATACTGACGAGGCAGCTCCATTAGTCAGTTTTAATAGATCTTTGTTCTTCTGTGGGTTTTTTTTTTTTGTCTTGATAAACTTTTTCATTGTTAACCATATTTGCCCTTTCTTAGGTATTCTCAATCCAAAAGAGAACAAAAGGAGTTTTAAAAAGAGAAAAGAAAGGACAAAGAAAAAAACTCAGGTCACTGCCAAATGCCATAGTGATTTCTGTCATTTTATCACTTTATAAACATTGGTTTGCTTTTCTGGCTTATCTGTGGGAAGCTAGTCCATAGCAGAAATTGAAGGACAGTTTTAAGTTTCACTAATTTACTTACTCCGTATTTATCCTGACTTCAAAGTAAATTTATGTGACGTTATTGAAGAGATACTAATGATCCCTTGCAATAATTTGAGTACTGTTAATTAAAAATTCTTTAAAATTTGGGAATACCACAAGGTAAAAAAAATAAGCTTTTATTAAACTTAAAAACCTCAGAATGTTAACTTAAAGCCTTTGGTAGTTTAAAATATTTTTAAAAATATGAATTTAAAAATGTTTTTATCAGTCTAAAGGTACTTTCAAATCTCCTGCTGCCACCAGACTCTTTTAGTCCTGATTTTGAAAAATAATTGTTTTTGAATTGTGAAGTTTAAATTTGTGTAAGACCTTTTCAGTATGAGCATGTCTGTTTATTTTTATACCTGATTTAAAAAACATTTCCTTAACCTGTCAGCAACTCAGTTGAGCAGTCAGCCTATCTTCCTCAGTATCTTGTCTGACACGAGGACAGCAGTCCAAGGGGAAAGGTATCCCAAATTGGTGCCACACGTCGATAAATAGAGACATTTCATTTCTCCCCAAGCTAATTCAGTCCAGTTCAGTTCACTCTTTTTCCCCCTTAAGGACGGATCAGAAGAGGCAGCTGTGAATGACTGGGTTGGTCATGTGTTTGACACGTCAGTTTGTGAATATAAAGCCGACCACAGGGGACGGGTTCTGCCTTTGGATTTCGGACAATGGCCAGTCCCAGAGCTCTGGCCTCAGCTGGGCTGCGAGTGTGGACGCACTCAGGTTACACGCGGGTGCAATGGCAAAGACCAGGGCTCTCTGCGCTCCACACCTCCTTCCCTTCCAGTTGCGACCGTTCTTGGCAATTCACAGACCCTTTGCAGGTGTCTCTGAGTTTCACTTTCATCCCATAGGCTAAAGCTGTTGGATTGTCCATACTATTAGCTTTGTGATTTTGGTAAAATTTTTGTCCTAAGTGCCTTGTTCCTTTAAAATTCTTATTACAATAAGTATAATAGGAACATTTCTATTTCTTAGTTTAATCATGCATTCCTGAGACATGTAACGAGATTTATACAGCTGTAATACTGTTTATTCTTTAAGGATGTGATGGGATCGATGTAGTCTGCCAGGTTCCTCTCTCCGTGGGATTCTCCAGGCAAGAATACTGGAGTGGGTTGCCATTCCCTCCTCCAGGGGATCTTCCCGACCCAGGGATTGAACCCTGGTCTCCTGCATCATAGGCAGACTGTTTACCATCTGAGCCACCAGGGAAGCCCCTGTGAAACATCTAGTAGCATTTATGAAAGATTAAATTTGTCAGAAGTGGCCTGCTGCTCTGTGGATCAGCTCCAGGGGCCTCGTCTCCTACATGACTCCCCTTCAAGGGCTCCCTCCCACCCTACTGCCTGTGCCAGCCCCCTGGTGTCCTGCAGTAGCAGACGACATAGGTCCTCGCTGCCCTCTTTCTCTGGCCTGCCAAGCCTATCTTTCATGTAGCGTTATGTCCTACTTTTTCCTGGACTTAGACTCTCCTTGGCTGATTTGCTGCACTAGAATGCTCCCTTCCTCTGGGTGGTCTAAGAATTTAACTCTGGAGTGCTCTCTTCCCCCTGCTCCTGTGTGCTCCCTCAAAACATTGCGTGTCTCATGCCTCATGCCCTGTGTGTTCAGGGCTTCAGCCGTGCAGCCGGTGCTCACTAAGTGGATCCATGAGCAGAAAACAGGGCTAGCACTGTGTCACTTCCACTGCTCACCTCCTGTACCACCTCCCAGAAGCTGCCTAACCTCTCTGTGACTCATTTCCTTCTTTTGAAAATGAAACTCATACCTACCTTAAGGGTTATGAAGATGAAATGAGTTAATTTTGGTTAAAGTGCTTATTAGCACAGTGTCTGGCACAGTATAAGCTATGCAAATATTCATTCAATAAAATAATTTACTGAACATGTGCTATCTGCTAGCCACCAGTGCTGAGCATTGTACCTGGTATCATCTCATTTGATCTTCCCAGGAGTCCTCCATGGGACTGTTAGCATTCCTCCTGTTAGGATTCCCATTTTATAGATGAGGGAACCCAGACACACTCAAAGGCAAGAGTGTAGAGGGAAGAAGCAGGATTTGAGTCCACGCCACCACCTCTCTGCCTGTACCCACTGTGGTGTGCTGTCAGGCTGAGAGTCCGTCAGAGTATCACAGTCAGATGGAGAGCCACCGCAGGATGTGTTTCTTGACCCATTAGAGAACAGCACACTGTGAGATAACAGTCAAGGAGAGATTAGTCCCGTGGGCCCTCATGTTGACCTCCTTGGACCGAAAACCAGGGAGGATGGGAACCGCGCGTGTTATCAGCTGCTCCTGAGGCGCTGTAGGCCTAGGGGTACCACATGATGATGTATTTTGGATTTGTTATTGTTTTCTTCTAAGCCACTCTTCTGTCAGACTTTGGAGGCTTTGCTGGTACAGTGACTCTAGTCTGGGACCACACAGAACACCATGAAGATGGTGAGGTGCAGGGAATGAGAAAGTGTGTCAGCCAAACTTGCCTGTAAATGGTGCATCGTTGGTATTTAAAACATGTCTCAATCTTCCCTACCATGTCACCAGGCTCTACTGAGATGCCAGGTTTATCCACAGGAATTCTAGACAGAAGAGGTCAGCAACCAGTTCTGGTACCTACTACCACAACCTTTAGTCATAACAAATGAAACCTTGGCTATGTGAGAATCTCTCTCAAGGTGGTCATACACATGCCCTGTGGATTTACAGCTTGGGACATGTACTTGTGAAAATAGATATTTTGGAGGGTCCAGACTTTTCATGCATGCAGTCAAAAGTTTTCAAAGTGAATTTCTTCAAAGGATTCCAGTTACTTGCACAGATAATGAAAAAACATATATATATCTTTTACAGTGAAGTCTTTTTTTGGGGGGGTGTGGGGATTAAAAAGGTTCCTAGGACATTAATGCTTTGTAGAGGTTCTGATGGTTAATAGTCGTTAAGTGCTGGGTAAAAAATAAACTTGAAGAGCAACGATGAAATATTTACTCAGCAGATGGCTTTGAAGTTTAGCTTCTTTTTGGTTGCAGTCCCCTTCCTAATGGACATGTGTTAAAGAGGAAAATGATTATAACATTCAGCTGTGATGTTTTCATCCTCTGCATGGAAGAAATCCATTTTGTTTTGGTCGATTTGGGTATTTAAATTTTGAAGACCAGCTACTTAGAAATCCATTAATGACAGAAATGGTTCACACAGCTCTGAATTCATTTCCCTTGATAGGAAAATGTTTAAAGGTTAATTTTTCTAACACCTGTAGGAATAATTGTTTTAAAAGATGGTTTCAACTCTTTCATTCTACATGCTTCTCACCCTAAATTTAAGTCTCCTTAGTTTTATCTCAGAAGGCCTAAGGTGGGTGTATGTATTAAATGAATAATAATATTACTAACTTAAATTTTATAAAGTAGCTGACTAGGTAAATATGCTTATCCTTAAACATGTTTAGAAACTATGTATTTAAAGATACAATTCTTCAATTCTAGTATTAGCTGAAGGGTTCTCTCTCAAAGTTTAAAAGTATAGAATGTTGCATAAATCTTGTTTTTCTTTTACATCCTGGATTAAATGTCAGTCACCCAGGTGGTGTAGGAGTTTAGAAATTGTTGTTACAGTGCTGGTTGAAATGTTCTGCTTTTATGTTTTCTCCCACATGGACTGTGATATGCTTTTAACATTTATGCTTGTCTTTTGTTGCTCAGTTTTCATGTGAATCCGACAAGTCATGAGGACCTCAGGAAGATTCCGGTAAGTTGTATCGAGGGTTTGAGAATTACCAAAAACCAAGCCACAGGCTGTCTTTCTGTCTGTGGCACATTCTTGAAAAGGCCTCCATCTCCGTGAATCCCTCCGTTACCTACAGATTATGGTTTAGTGTGATAATCTGCAGAGAAAGAAACACAAAATATACCATAGGGTGTGACTTAGGTATGATCTATGGAAGTATAAGCAAACAGTTTTAGTTAGAATTGAAGTTCATTTAGAATATACAGATTTTGTTTGCAGGCTCTTTAAATATGAATAAGAATGCTATATGTCAAAGTCAACATAATTGTTATGAAATAAGAGCATGTGGAGAAAACTAGCATTTTGTTGTTGTTGTTGTGACTAAGATTGAAGGAAAAATAAAACTGCTTGTTAATATTTAACAAGGGAAAGCTTCCTGGCAAGAGATCCATTTAACCAGGAAAGTGTGTTTGAAAGAACCTGTAGGACATTTACCTTCTAAGTCAGAATGAAACCAAAAATGTTAACAGACTTGGTAGCAACCTGCTTAACTCGCATATTTTGCAAGGATTATTCAGATATTTTAACTTCATTTCATTGTTATTTCAAGTTCAGTTTTCAGTCTCTTCAGAGGTTCAGTAACATCTTCAGTCAATTCTAAATACTATATTAAACCTAGAAAATAAATTACTTTATAAAATATGGACACATGTCTTGGTAGGAAACTACATTCTCACTGAGTAACAGAAATAGAGCCTTTATTCCAAGAGGCTGGTGGTTGCTGTTTGAACCATCTGTCCTTAATGTGTGTGATCCAGATGTATAATAAGAATTTTTCAAAGCAGTAACATATCACAATTTTCTGTGATGTGATAGGCCTAGAAGAAACCATGGTGTTGTGTAAACCATTCTAAACATAGTTGTCTTTAAAATGGTAGAAAACATTGTAGAAGCAGAGGACTTTGTACTGTGTTTTTGCTGTTTTATGTAAATGATTTGTAGGTTTTGATGTTTCATAAATACTCAAGTCTTTATATCATGCCAGTCTGGCAAGAAACATCAGAATATATGAAATCAGCCTTTGATCAGATAGTAAAATGAATTCTATCAGGCAGTTACTTAATCTCAAACAAAATGCAACATCAAAAAATCGATTTAATGTGCAGCTATTGTTTATTAAGTAACCTTAATTACAACTTCTGTGTGCTTGTAAATGTACTTTTCCAAATCTTGTAATTTATTGCTGCAAAAGCATCCTTAGAATTCTTTAAAGAAATAAAATGTGAAAATTGTTTTAGTTAAGGGATTTAAAGGTGATAAAAGAATCCTTGATGTGTGATTATTTTTCTCTGGAATACTAACTATTCTAAATGACAGTTAAAGGATTACTAGGTGTTGTTAATTTACTGCAAGATACAATTAAGAGGAGAAAGCTCATCCTCCTACTGATCGTTATTGAAAAAAAGTATTTGAACAAGTTTTATGTTGAAGATTATAAGATGTTTGAAGTAATTTACATTAAGTTCTCCAATAATAGCCATCCACTAAGTTATATTTTTTCCCCCTTCTGGACGTAGTATTTTGTAATTAAGTTTGTATGTCTTATATGCTAGTGCCAACACCTGTCTGTGAAAGCACAGTGTTTAAACAGGAGCAGTAGCCAGTTGAAAGGGCAGTGTGAGCTCTTTAAGGCCTAATTAAGAACTGAAAGGGAGATGAAGGGAGTAGGACAAAAGATGTGAAAGTAGCTGAGATGATATTCCCAGAGCAAAGTTCCTCATTAGAACAATAATGAGATGATCAGAGAATGCCAAGCCTTCATCTTATCTCTCTCTCCCTCCTCTAGTAGCCTTGGATGTCAGTTAGTACCCCACCAATATTTGGTTACCAGGACAACCTTTCTTTAAATCTTCAGTTATTTTGAGTCTTGATAATTTGCTTTTGTTGAAATTTAAATATTGTAAAAAATATACATTTCCTAGTTTAAAAGGCTAGACTCTGAGTAAAGTAAAAATAGATCAAAGTCGTTTGCACAACTGTTATTTAAAATTCCAGTTAGAAAGCTTCATGTAGTAATTCTTTTTTCTCACCCAATACTTATTTTCTTATATCTGTGTATGGAAATTTTTAACAGAGGTCGGGTAGGAATAAAAAGGATTGGTTATGAAAGAGGAATGGGAAGAAAAATTACATTAAATTTCAATATAAGAAGACATCTTAAAAACATATGTGCCGTCTATATGGAGTGCTAGAGGAAAAATATTGAGTACTTAGGAGTCCTGTGTTAAGTTATTTGAGTCTGGTAAGTTTGGAGATTTCTCAATTTTAGCTTTTCCAAAAATAGTATTGAAAGTATCTTTTGAAAAAATAATTCATTTTTATATTTGCCTGAGAGTTCTTAAGCAAAATAATATTTTAGAAAATTTTTTAGAAAATATTTTTTATTTCCTATTGTATGTATTAGTCTTTATTTTACTTGCAATTATATCAAAAACAAAGATAGTTGTATTTATTGAGTATATTTAGTCAATTAAGAATCTTATGCTTAAAATTAGGTTTACATGATTTTCAAATATGAGATAAATCTGGAGTTAGGCATAAAACTGTTTTTAATTATTTTATATTATTCTACAGAACATAGTTTATATATAGTACATGTCTTTCTAAGATTTTTCTGTTTTTTTGGCATAGAAACTTGATACAGAAATTTGGGGTAAAATTTTCGCATAAAAGGACAAATGAAAAATTTATTGAAAAGCTCAGAAGTGTATTTCCAAGAAATCTATTTCCCCATAATTATTAGATGATTGTGAAGAGAAAAATAAGCCAGTTAATGATTTATATATTCTAGATTATGGCTGTAAAGTATTGAACAATATTGTGCGATAATAATTGATTATTTTGAGAGATTAAATTTTAGATTGACTTGTATCGTGGCATTGATTCAAGCTACTTATGTCAAAAGAATTTTCTGATATTTTTAATCCCCATTTTAGAGAAATGTTAAAAATTTATTTTAGCTACATTCTCTGGTAGTGCCGGTATAGTGTTAAATGTAACAATATAAATGATTTTCTAAGTGTATATTATCACTTAATTAATTTGGAGAAATCAGTTCTTTAAATGTATAATTTGATTAAGAGAGGCTCAATCTGACAGTATTATTATGTTAAATTAAGAAAAAAAAGTAAAACAATCAATTGATAATGAATCTCATTTAGTTTGATTTCGTTAATCCCTGCAGTTCTCAGAAGAACTGCTATTTTTTTCAGTAAATGTTGTATTAGAAAAATGAAATCACATTAGTTGGACATTATTATTTTTTTTTAAATGCAGTTCAGAAAAATCACTTTGTAGACCAGGAGATGTAAGAGTTGAAAGGGAACTTGGAGAACATCTCATTTATCAGAGAAGGAAAAGTGAGACCTATGTGGGTTTCTGTCTCAAATTTGTACAGAATGACTTTGGTTAAAGTAAGAGAGTAGCTTATTTTCAATTAATGTTTTAAATATACTTGCCTCTATGGTGTTTCTTACCTTTTTTTTTTCCCCCAGAAACATGCTTAGTATAATAAATGTCAATAAGAATGTGTTTAGAAAATTATAACTTTTATATCTCTGGACTACTTGTGACCAATTAGATAAACTTATAAATATGTGTGTGTATTTACTCTTAACAAAAGGTTAATTGCTCTGAAAGAAAAGAAACTAAAAAGTAAACCAGCTTATCTCCAGAATTGTCCTTTAGTTTAGTAGTAAAACAATATTTTGAAATGTTTGGGGGACAAAGATAGCACAACTCATAAAGTTGTATCTGTACCAGTTTCTAATGGTAAAATACTTTATTTTTAATATGCCTAACAGAATTTAAACTTACTTCCTTTTAGCATCCTTTCTATTCTGTTAATCTAGTAGAAGCTGTTACTAACTTTTGTCTGTACTGTTAACTGGGGGCTTCTTAGGTGGCACAGTGTTATTCACCTGCCAATGCAGGAGACTCAAGTTTGATCCCTGGCTTGGGAAGATCCCCTGGGCTAGGAAAATGGCAACCCACTCCAGTATTCTTGCCTGGAATATTCCATGGACAGAGGAGCCTGGCAGGCTATAATCCATGGGGGTCACTAAGAATCACACAACTGAGGATGCATGCACCACATACTATTAAATAACTTTGTAACTCCTCGTGGTCCCTCCAAATGGTCTTACCCACTGCTATACCATTTTGCTACAACTTAGCTTTACTCTTCTTTCCTCTCTTCCGAAACCTTTAGTAGGCTCTGTTTCCCATAGCACTAAGTCTGATGGCATTAGACATCCTTGGTGGCCTGTTTGGAACCCACCATTTCAGTCTGTCTCTCTGTGCCCTGCCCTGAACCTTCTTTCCCAGCCATACTCTGCTGATCACCTTTATTGACCACTGGGCCTTGAGCTCTGTTTCCTCCTTTGAACAAGCAGAGCCCACTGCTGGAGATTCCCGTACGCATCTGTACCTTCCAGGATCTTTGAAGGTCTAGTGCAAGCTATGTCTTCTCTAAGACACCTTAGGGATTCTGTGGCTTGGAGAAGTTTGCAGCCCAGAATATTTTTTTGCCTTTATCCTAGCTAGAGAAGGGAGTGTGCTTGGCTAACACAAACATACTGGTATCTGTGCTCTTGCTTATGCCTTTGGAGCAGCACAGTCACAGGGTCTAGGGAAGGAAGGGATGAAAAGTTACACTTTGACTTTACTGATGAAAACTCCTGGATGCATAGCAAATTAAAATAGATCCTCAAAATGAATACAAATCTAATTTCCATGACAATAAAAAGAAAAAGACCTGTCTATATTTATCAGTCCTGGTTCTCAGTCCTCTGCTGAATAGATTAGACACTGTTAGTCCTTAAGAGCAAGGTCACTTTGCTCAGGATTTTAGTGTATTTTCTTTAAAACCGAAAGGAGATGTTTGGAAAGAAAGTGATGAACACCAATTCCAGTTGTTGAATGTAGTGATAGAACTATATATAAAATGCCAAAAAGATTGCTACTTTACATTTTGCATAATGAAAAATCTCAGTATTACACACTTTGAATAGATGATGATACAGTGCCTTTTTGATGAAATTCCTGAGAAATATTTTCTATTAATATAGGATGCTTTATAATAAACATTAATCAGTGCCTTTTTGGCTTATGTTTTACCTTTGTGTTAAAAGAATTTTCACCAACAGAATAAGATTAAACAAAATAAGTGAAGTGGGAGACTGCAGATATACTAATATTGTTAGCATGATAGTAGTGGAACTCTGAGTTTCCTGACAATCAGGGCAAAAAGGGAAATAAATTGTACAGGTATTAGTACTAGAAGGAGAAAAATAGACTAGTTTCTCAGAGGAGGAAAAGGTCTATTTGCCTATAAGTTAAAGTGGTAGTTATTCCCATGGAGCTTCTTGCAAGGGTTGCCCATGGATTTTTTATTATTATATACTATTACATAATATATATAATATTATTATGTAATAGTATATAGTAGTTCTGAATGCCAGCAACATTTCATAACAAATTCAGAAGCAGAGTTGATAATGCTGTTTCTTGTAACCATCTTCAATAAAACGGCAAAGCATAACATTAAACTCTAGTTCAGGGGAAGCAGTTCCATGAGGACTAAATTAATGTCCAAAGGTCTAGTTTTCAATAGCTTCTTATATTTCCTACAGTTGATTCTTACAGATCTTTTGGTTTCATCTTCTTAAATTATATTTATAATAGAACATTTTATCTGTTAATCTAATCTTAAATTATATAGTCAACTTCTTAACACTAGGACATTTGTCCACAGTGTAACAAGTGGTTTTAGAAGAATTCAGAGCTGTAATCAAGGCGTGCGTCTGCGCTCGTCCTTTGCCGAGAACTGCCCCACGGGTTCTCGCCAAGGATCGGGAGGCGGGTTTGGAAAAGCTGAAGTTAGAGCAGTTGGCCATCTTCCTCTGGCACTCTGTTGAAGCGGCCGTCTTCCCCCTGTTCTAGGAGAGCAGCCCCTTTGATGGCGCTGCGGGCCGCCGCAGTCCGACCTACGAGGGGGCCCTGCAGGAGCTGGCAAGACTCCGAGAGCTCCTGAGGCGGAGGGACGCGCACATCCGGGAGTTGGAGGACTACATCGACAACCTCCTGGTCAGGGTGATGGAGGAGACGCCCAGCATCCTCAGAGTGCCCTACGAGCCGGCCAGGAAGGCTGGCAGATTCCCCAGCAGTTAACAAGCCAGGGGTACTGCACTTAAATCGGGGGCGGGGGGGGGGGGGTGCGGGGTAGGGAAGAAAGGGAGACAGAGGACGGGAAACAGAAGAAAAGCTTGGTGCTGAAAGACAGACCACGCTATCAGGTTTCATTACATACTCTCCTTCATTGTGAAAAGTCGTTTCGCCTGTAAATATTAGCAGGGACTATCAAGAGTGACCTTTGAAGTGAGCTCAATAATTTAAACCTTTAAAGTGAAAAAGGGCCAGATTCTCATGAATAAGCCGTTCCTTAGGATTCACTTAGGTGCTGGTGCTGGCTCACTAATCTCCCTTAGGCCTCGAAGTATCTTCAGAAGTACATGATGTATTCCTCAGGAACAGGTGTCTCGTAAAGCAGAATTGATACTGTGGTTGGTTTCTCAAAAGTCAATTTATAGACATTTAGCTGCAGGAGTAATGATCATTATAAACACTAATTTTAAAAAAAGGTTCATATTTTATATACATATATGTGTACATGAATATCTAGATGTTCATGTATCTTTGTATGTAAAATACGTGCATATACCTCATATATACATGTGTTTTTAGAACATTTAAAAACAACTGGTTGCCTCTAAAATTATAGGATACCAATTAGGGTTTCTTAATCTGGAAATATATGTGTGCTCTATCGATGCAAAACAAATCATCATTGCTATTAATACTCTAAATGGTTTGTTTAGAGAAGCTGCTTCAAATCACTCTTGACAATATGAACCTTGGTTTCAAAATAAGCTGCTACTATATATTATTCTACCATCAGATCCTTTCTCTTTTTCCAAAGTAATGACCCAAAGTCTCTTTTCAAAGAATGATGTATTTTAGGAAACTTCATTAACTTCACAACAGCATGAGTTTTTTTAATTAGTTTTTTGTCTTAATATCTGAGCTTTGTTTGAGCCATAAGCAGAAGATAAGCAAATGTGATTTGTTTTGTTGAGATTTTGAATGTCTTTAAAATACTAGCAAAGAAAATATTAGGAAGTTATATCTGAAGATAATTTAGGGGGGAGTAGGTGATCATTCTGATGCCTGATAACCCAGAGCAATGAGCAAATTCTAGGAATGATGAATTAGGCTTGGTTTCAAGTTACATAAATAATGGAACAGATGGTTGCATTTGGGTTCTGAACCACAATAAGATTTACTAAAGGAGGGGTGAGTTCTTAGAACAGATCTTTACTAGGATGACAATTTATACTGTTCTACATACTTAAAACCCTTTAAAAATAAATCAGTATCACAAAACTATGTCAACTTTTATAAAGTCTGCTCTCCCAAAATGTTGACTACTTTCATGAATTTTCTGTATATATTTGTACAAAATTAATCTTTAAAGTGAAAAACTGATACAAAAATATTACTAATTATCTGCTGCTCATTTTTTAACTTTAAAAGTCTGAAATACATACTGTGTAATACTGAAATCTGTTTCTTCTGGGAAATTTACAATGAAAAGTTCACCTGTATACAGAGACATATATTCCCCAATCTTTTACCAAATGAGTTTTTGTCTAAAATTTGTCTCTACTAAGACTTCATTGAGAGTTAAATAACAAAGCACATGTAATTGTTTTGCTCAGTTTAATATTTTGAATCAGATAATACTTGGCCAAGCTTATATTCATAAGCTAAAATTCCTTATTATTTGTATTTTTCTGAGTTGCTTTAGTTTTCCTATGAGAGCACAAATTTTGAAATTCTGAAAAAATAACCCAAATGTTAATACAAAAAATAATTTTTAATATGAGGAAATAGAGAAGGAAAAACGGCTCTTACCAACTTTTTCCTTCACTTCTAAATTTCTGTAGTAAACCTCACAGTCTGGTATAAAATTTTATTTTCTCATTTGAGGTCTTAGTAGTTCTTATTTTTTAACCTGGTGCCATTTTTAGTTAACATTTGTTAAATGTTGCACAATTCTTAGTTTTTCTCTTGTTAGTATAATTGAGGCTCTTCTTACACTTTTAAAAGTATTAGAATCAATGTGTTTTCAGTATTATGAGATTATCTGCAAATATTTTAATATGCTTTGGCCAAATTTACTTTCTATAGAATGACCCACGATACCAGTGTTGTACTGGAGATATGTTTTGTGTAAACAAAGCTCATGAAAAAGTAAGATTTAGGGACTACTATTTTTTTAATGAGGAAATTCATTTTTAAGGAGAGAATCTTGGCCTTTGTGAAAACTGTTAAGGATTAGACTTATCCTTGGTGAATGATTTGGCTATAACTGCATCAACATTTTTATCTTTTATTCTGAGACAAGAACTGTATTGAAAATTGAATCTGCATTTATCACTGCCTGAAATGTTCCTTTCTGATGTTTATGAACTTTCTTTCATTCATGACCTAGAGTCAGACTTAATTTGCATTTTCATAATCAATTCGTCAATATAATGAACTAAAAATGAAAAGTAAAAATGAGTTCCTACGTAAACATATCAGTGTTTCCTGTTTGTGAGTGGAAGTGAAAGTGGAGTAGTATTAATTTCTAGCATTGTAGAAAAAAGGCCAGAAGATCACATTGGTTTATTTTTCCAAACTGTAACTTTTAAGTAGTATAATGGTATGTTTTGTTAGTAACTTAGGTGTGGAAATAAAACATATGTACTCATTAATGCACAGCACAATAGACTTATAGACAGATTACTTCTGCTTTCATGCTTAAAAAAGGAATGCTCAAAAATATTTCCACAAAAAAGAGGATTTTTTAAAAATTGCCGCGTTTGTGATACTCTCAAACCTGTCTTAAGCTAACACAGTTCTGTTATGTAATTAAAAATGTCTCTGCTGATATTTTTTAAATAGTGTAATTATACAACCAGCTCCCCTCCAGGTTCTAAAATTCAGCTTCAAAGTATTGAACATACACTCCTACCACTTAGGCTTCAAGTTCATTTATTGAATACCAGGGAGTAAATCTTATAATTGTAAATAAAATAGCGTGTCACCCATTTACGACTCTTTTTAAGTATTGCTTTTTGCTGCTATTTTCTGCATTGAGCCTAGTTCTGCCATCCTCTCATAAATGTAGTTTTATCCGTAGATTATACATAACTATGTCTGTTGCTTTTAACAGCAAATGAAGATTTTGTAATTTTCCAGCTGTGAATGTTGCCCTGTATTTAAAGGGGTTTCGTGAGTGGAAACCTAAAGTAAAACTCAGCACGTTAGTGACAGACTTGCTTTCTTCTCATCCTTCACCAACTCCTCCACCCTCGTAAGAGTGCTTATTCTTCAGCAAAAAGATCTTAAAAAAAAAGAAAAAAATTGCTGCCTTTAATATACCTATTAATTTTTACACTAGAGCTTTTATTTTCCTCTGTAGCTTTTTAGAAAAAGCAGCCTACCCTGGATTTGCAAAACAGGTGAAACTTTCTGATGTCTGTGTGCTCATATGTCTTATAGATACGGTTGGTGTCACTCGTGTGTGTAAGTGAAATACGAAGCATGCTCATTTCCTCGATCTCTTTGAAGTAAAAGGAAAAGGATTGCAGTGCTGCTGGCTCATGATTGTAGATGGAAGGGTCTGTCAGCCCACACCGAAAGCCCCCATTTTCACAGATTTATAACTTTAATAATCCAGATGCACTCATTGGAAGTATTTAATATGCAATAGGTAGCACCTTAACTAATTAATCTGCATATGAAGGGTTTTCTGATGTATTTAATAAGAAGTGTAGAGGCTCTTCAAGCATTAAACTAGAGTTGACATTTTATTTCATTTATTTTCCATGTCAAAAAATCCACTCTTACAATGGAACTGAAGTCTGTAACAAACGATACATTGGGCTTATAATCTTAAGTCTTCTAGGTGGTTTGTATTTTGAGGTACAAAAAAAATGCTGCAGATCTAGAAATGTATATATTTAGCAGGTATTTGAAAAATACAAGCATTATTTATAACTGAGGAGTATTACATTTACTAAGGAAAATGCTCTAGTAACTTGTATACATTTTTGCAGGTACAAACTCAGAAGTATGTAAGCATTACATAATGTGACAGTTGTGTAATTTATGTAATCTGATGCATGAGTCAGAATTTTTATATAATATATGATTATTGGTTTATTATAGTTGATTAAAGTGTTTAATCTTAATCTGGTTGTCGTAATTTCTTATTGTAGATAGCACAGCATGAATATGCATTTGTCCATGAGCCCTCCTTTTCTTCTAAAAATGCAGTACTTGGATGCCTTATCATTTGATGTGTCGCAGCAAGGATTCTATAATACCTGCAGACTCATTTCACTATGAAAATAATTTTGAAAATTCATGGAGAGAGTGGCTTATACCTCACCGTGGACACTGTTGAGCAGCCCTTTATAAATACGTCATCCCCTCACAGGGACAGAACTTAACGATTTGGTGGAAAATTACATCTTGAATGTTTGTATAGAATCTGAGACCTATACTGAGTGCATTATCTCATTTATTCTTCACAACAGCCTTCTAAGGTCAGGACTATACAAGCTTTCAGGGGAAATCGAAGACGATTAACAGAATATCTACTTCCGGAACTCAACAGTAGACTAGAGTTGGCAGTCCCATAGCATTTCTCACCACTGTTTATGGTCTGGTTCTTGGCGAAGACCACCGACTCCTGCCCACTTCCAGGCCTCTCAGCCTGCAGTGCAGGCATACAACACCTGTCCATCCCAGATGCTGTCCGAGGGCAGCAGGAATCAAAGGGCGTGGGATGATGGTGGTGTGGCAGGATGTTAAGTGGTTGCATTCTAGATGAGACGTGATCCACACGTCGTAGTTGTGAAGGTAAGGAATATACACTTGGAACAAGGGAGTTCTCTTCAGACAGAATACCTTCCTCACCCCTAATTGTCCTCAGTTTTAGAGGTCCATTTAATGTATCTCATCACCTCCTCCAGTATTTCTCTAGGTCGTTCCCCTTTCTGCCTGTCACTAGCACTCACATTTATTTTCCTTAGTCTACTGAGACAAAGGTATTTGGG